TTGAAGAACCGCTCGAGCCNGAGGCCGTGAAGAGCCACTTGAACCTGAGCTAGTTGAAGAACCGCTCGAGCCTGAGGCCGCAGAAGAGCCACCTGAACCCAGATCCTGTAGCATAGCCACTTGGTCCTGTCGAAGATCCGCTAGTGCCAGATCCTGTAGAAGAGCCACTTGGTGCTGAGCTTGTTAAAGAATCGCTAGAGCCGCTAGAGCCAGATCCTGTAGAAGATCCACTTGGTGCTGAGCTTGTTGAAGGACCGCTGGAACCAGATCCTGTAGAAGATCCACTTGGTGCTGAACTTGTTAGAGATCCGCTAGAGCCAGATCCTGTAGAGGAGCCACTCAAACCAGATCCTGTAGCAGAGCCACTTGGTCCTGTCGAAGATCCGCTAGTGCCAGATCCTGTAGAAGAGCCACTTGGTGCTGAGCTTGTTAAAGAATCGCTAGAGCCGCTAGAGCCAGATCCTGTAGAAGATCCACTTGGTGCTGAGCTTGTTGAAGAACCGCTGGAACCAGATCCAGTGGAAAATCCACTTGGTGCTGAGCTTGTGAGAGATCCGCTAGAGCCAGATTCTGTAGAAGAGCCACTTGGTGCTGAGCTTGTTGAAGAACCGCTAGTGCCAGATCCAGTGGAAGATCCACTTGGTACTGAGCTTGTGAGAGATCCGCTAGAGCCAGATTCTGTAGAAGAGCCACTTGGTGCTGAGCTTGTTGAAGAACCGCTAGTGCCAGATCCAGTGGAAGATCCACTTGGTGTTGAGCTTGTGAGAGATCCGCTAGAGCCAGATCCTGTAGAAGAGCCACTTGTGCCTGAAGTTGAAGAGGTCTGGTATGGGCAAGAACTTTGGCCATCCGCGTAGTTGCTGACATACCCACTGAAGGACGTATGCGTCACACCTGATGGATCTGTGAAAGTCAAGGAAAGAGAGCCAACAATGCCCACGCTGCCAAATGTTAGCCTGATGGGGTATTTAGCACCCTGGGTTAGTTGCACGGTGTATGTTCGTGGGCCCAGCAGTGAGCTCAGCGGGCTCATGGCATTGATTGCAACACCGCTTGTGGAGCAGCTGGAGGAAGTGGATTGACAGCATTGGAAAGCGGAAGGTGAACCAAACATAAATAGTGCGCTATCCCCGAGATTTCCGACATTGAACGTGTAGCTGCCGGTGGTTGGTGGAACAAAGTAACCAGTTAGCTCCAGCGTAAAAAAGTTGGTAGTCAAAGGAAAGCCCAAAAGGTCTACCTGAAGTGATAGGCCCGGGTTGAAAGTAAAGGACGGATTCGTATTGCCTGTAGAAGTGTAAAGAAGTGTAGTACTTCTGTAGTCGCACATGAGGTATGACAACGGATCTAAAATCGTGCCAAGGCTATATGGGTAGAACCTGGCCATAAATCCGTTCGAGGACGGAGAGCTTGGTGGATTACAGGAGCCGACAGTGGCAGCTAACGCCGTTTGAGCTAGCAGAATGACATAGGACACGGCAAGGAGAGCACGAGCCGGTGCGAACATGGCTAGGGTCGGGCGAAACAAACAAATTTGGATTCAGAGTCGAGATTCTGAATTTGGTTACTGTGTAACACACAGGATTTATTAAAGGGTTGGGGCCAGGAAAAAGCGAGCGAATTGTTGTTGAGGATTATTTACCAGCTTTAACAGAAGGACTGGGTCATTGTCGCCCGTGCTGGCCTTTTTTATATCTCAAATTTGCTCTTCCAGAATCGTTGCAGTGGGTTGACACTCTCCAGCTATCTTGAAAAGCAGGGGCGATGTAAATCTTTGGTACACGAAATCTACCAATAGCCAATGGATTCTCTTGCAAAGGGCCGCTGAAGGTATTTGGCACTGTATCCGCGACAAAACATTGGGTCTGAATTGATAACATTGGCAACAGTCTAAATTGCCGCCCGCGCCTTGGAATATGATGCGTGTCGTGCATCGCAGGTCCGAAAGAAAAATATTGGGTATCCTTGGTATGCAATGAGGTAACAGCTCGCAACAGTTGTCCGGCACTCACTTGTATGGGCGTGGCGCTTTTAAAAACTGTAAGACAACAAGTCAACAAAAGGCCTTACAGTAGAACTTTTGAGCACGCACAGTTCAGGAATAGTCTGGTTTCGTCATGTATACCTAGCCAGAGCGACTTCGGACTCTACCGCCCAGTTTTTTTTCTTTCATGCAGTGAGCTCTGGGGAGCATGTAGAACTTCTCTCGTTGGGTGTGGGAAACATCCGGAGCATGCAGGATGCAATGCTTTCAAGGCCTTGAATTCGATAAACGTGCAAGAGCCCAAAC